AACTGTCTTAAGTAGAAATCGAAAATTATCACAAGGGGAGGGGGGGGGGTGACACCATGACGTAAACGTTCTAACTATAGAGAAAACTATGCTACACCCAGCTTATTATAAACAGACAATAGATAAACACCGTTACTCTTTTATATCTGTAGTGATTAAAGCTTATACACATACATTATATTCAGAGGCGTAGCGAGGGGGGGGGGGGGCGGGGGGACATATGTCCCCGGGCGCCGACCTTAGGGGGGGGGGCGCCAAATTGAAAGTTTGAGGGGGGGTGCAAATTGAAAGTTCGAGGGGGTGCAAATCGAAAGTTTGAGGGGGGGGGGGGTGCAAATGAAAAGTTCGAGGGGGGTGCAAATGAAAAGTTCGAGGGGGGGGGGGTGCAAATCTAAAGTTGTCCCCGGGCGCCGGGAAGGGTCGCTACGCCTCTGGTTATAGTTATATTAACTCTTTAATCACGCTATTTCTTCTTCATATTTTCGGCGCCTGCTAAAACACCAAGCAACAGCATCACCGCGCCTTTTTTGTCATTGTTTCCATTAACCTTGACCCCTAGCATTTTTATTATTTAGGCCGACTGGGCTACTTGTCATTTCTGGACAGACTGTAAACCACATAATCTCATGTCCAATGTTCCCTCTAAGCTCATTAGAACACCGCGATCACTAATATACGTTGTGGCCAATGTTCCCTCTAAGCTGCGCGGCCGCGCACTAGTTTTGAACCTGCCGTGGAGAAATATATCAGAAAGAAACCCCGATCCTCACCGTAGTACCTTAACTGCCGCGCCTGTCCTACTCTGTTGTTCAATAACAGCGCACAGGAAGACTTGACTTCCAATATTGGTAACTGATTTAGCATGATTTAACTTCATATAGACCTATATAATCAAACAGGTCACCACGCATTTGTTCGTACACTGTGTGGATGCAGTTTCTTTCAGGCATCTCTTCGCTATTGTCCATCCACCCTCCTAACGAAATATGATTTATATGATTTATATATAGAGTATATGTGTGTCGGCCTTCATGGGTCTATAATTTTAAAATATGCCACATACGCGTACATGTATGTGTATAAGCTTTAATCACTGCAGACTTAATAGTAACGATGTTTATCTATAGTCTGTTAATAATACAGTTGGATGTAGCATTGTTTTCTCTATAGTTAGCGCGTTTACCCCTACTCCTTTGTAATAATTGAGGATTTATACATAAAAGACTATTTGATTTTAATTAATCATTAATGGAACTGGCAAAAAAAGCATTTTTTTTTCTGCTATTTTTTGCCTTGGTGTCACCCCCCTAAATGGTGTCACCCGGTGCGGTCCGCACCCCCCGCCCCGCCCTCGCTACGCCTCTGGTTCCAACGATACTTATGAAGATGGATGCCTCTGCATGATAGGCTGTCTGTTGTGATGATTCTTAATGCCCAGAGGCGTAGCGACCCTTCCCGGCGCCCGGGGACAAACTTTTCGATTTGCACCCCCCCTCAAACTTTCGATTTGCACCCCCCCCCTCAAACTTTCCAACCCATTTTGGCGCCCCCTAAGGTTGGCGCCCGGGGACATATGTCCCCCCCCCCCCGCTACGCTACTGTTAATGCCTAGGCCTTTTGCTTCATTTTTATAAGTAAATCGAGTAGTGTAGGCCCTATATCATGTATGCTAATTGGTATAACGCGGGGTTTGACTACGAAAGTAGTGGCATAGTGAGGACAAGAGGCGATGTACTGTAGCTGCATTAAGAATGCACGGTCATTACTTTTGGTCCGGCAGTGGCCGGTCTATAATTCAATAAGGAAGTCTCTACTCCGCGGAGCCTCCTTGTATTACCCGGAAATGAGCCGTTGCCGTGCGTACGACTTGTAGTCTAGCTACAGGACGCTGGGAAATCTCACAATAAACCTGCTATTCGCCGATTGAGGCAAGTCCACTTACTGGAAACCAACAAAGAATGTCTTTTAAAAAATACGTGTTTTTTTTTTTTTCATAGTAAGCTAGGCCTCCCCTGCCTTTTCTTTTTTTTTTTGAAAAAGAAGATTGGTTTTATTCAGTGGCGTAGCGAGGGGGGGGATGACACCATTTAGGCAAAAAATAGCAAAATATATAGAGAAAAATGATAATTCCACCTAATTAAGTGATTAATTCAAGTGTTAAAATAGTTCTTTTAAGAGCAAAGTTGACAAACCCCGACAAGGGTGGAGTGCAAATCGAAAGTTTGTCCCCGGACGTTACGCCTCTGTGAGGGTGACACCATTAAGTGCCGCACCCCAACCTCGCTACACCACTGGTTTTATTTTAGCTAAATGGAATCAATCCACATGCAGCATAGTTAGGGCAGACTCGTTTTCTGTGCAGAGAAAAAATAAGCAGCAACCAAAACCAACTGGTGTTCAACTTTTAGTATAGTGATTTAAGACTTGTTATAGGTGGAGGCCCTTCTGCACTAAAAATAGCATTAATGACCTAGGATAGTGTTACTGTAAGTCAAGCTATAGTTTAACCCTATAAATAACCCAGAACCTTTTCAACAGACACCACCTGTCTTTTTGATGAAGGGAGCCACCTTGAAGGTGAAATAGCTGAAGTGCTGGTACATTTGAACAGCCTATAAACAGCTTTAGTGTATCATAAAGTCAAACCACTGGTACGCTCTAAAATACCATAAGAAACTCATACTGGTTGATGACTCACTATTTACTTTTTATTAGACCAACAATGATTTTTTTTGAGTCCTAAGTTGTCACCTACTTTTCTCCAATAATGTCCTACATGCTCTGTGCCTGGTAGCTTTAAACTAACATTCATTATTATGGAAAATCCTGTCAATGAAACTATTCTGTTTCATGGATAAGCTTTTCAATAATTTTTTTTAATGATAACAATTTAAATCTTCTCAAAGACACTGCATTTGTTTTAAATTTTGTTATCATTAGTGTTGCAATAAATTATATCTAGCATTAGTATTCAGATAAATAAATATCTAAATTGACCTACAGACTAAAAGCTATGAAAACACAACACAACTCAATGAAAAAACATATTATAACGTTAAGACTTTATTTAGCCTCCTTCAAACTTTCACAAAACATAAATTATTGTTAACTTCCAGAATTAATTTATTCAACTTAGCTCAAGAAGGATACACAGTTTGGACCTATGATTCAGTACCTTACAGTGAGACAAAATATAAGCTAAAATGCAACTGAAAATACTTTGTAGGCAGATTTTTAAATTAGACCATAGACACAGAAAAAAATTCAAATTCAAAGAAATAAATCCATCTTTAACACTTTGTCCGTACAAAAATCTTAGCCGGTTTAGTTATTTTTTGTCATCCTTTTTCTTATCATCTTTTTTATCATCTTTCTTGATTAGACTACTCATTGCACTTTGAATAACATCACTGTTGGGGTCAACTCCAGGAAGATTTTGGAAAACATTTTGAAGAAAGTCAGGATCATTCATCACCTCTGAGTAGTCCTCTTCCTCCTCCTGATGATGAAAAAAAGATGACAGATGTCAAATATATAAGTTAATAGAAAAAAAATTGAAGTAGATTACATAGAGTAGCATAAGTATACAATTTTAAGATTAAAAAAAAAAAGATTTTTACAATTTGGTAAAAAGGAACAAACCGAATTTTTTAATATTATTTAATCAATCCACATTAAACTAAAATGGTTTGTCTGCATGAACTTTTAGCTAGTTGAAGATTGTTCTACAACATGACTCACCTTTTTGTCAGGTCTGGCAGGGGCCCCACCTATAGTATCTGTCTCCATTGGTGCAGCACCACCATCAAAAGCTCCCATCCCTGGGGAATGGCAATTCAGAGTTTAATAAAATACGGAACATTACCAAAGTTTATAAGAAAGAGAAAATTAAATCCATATTTTTTATTTATTTTTAGTTACCAAAGTTTATAAAAAAAAAGAGAAAATTAAATCCATATTTTTTATTTATTTTTAGTTACCAAAACATTGGAAGGTCCTGTATTTAAAAACAAATTTTTGGGACCATTTAGAAATTACTTGTGTTTCTACAAAACCAGAAATTAAACTTGAAAATTAAAATTAAATTAAAAAATTAAAAACAATATCAGTTGGCCATATAAATTGAAATTGATATTCCATGAATTAAAACTGTATTTGTTATTTCCCTTGCATTATTTGAAATAAAATCTATTTGGTGCTGCTTTGGGAGAAAGTTGAAATTTTTTAAACAAAGTGTAATATAATGCTCAATTTAACTTTTCCACATGGCATTTAAGATTTTAAAATCGTGGTTAAAAAAATATAACATGCTAACTAAACTGTTGGAAATAATCCATAGAGGTAAGGCTCATTAACTGGGAACAGCAGCCTGTCTAGGAGAGAAAACTTCAAAACCAACAACTGCTATGGTGTGGATTGTTTTTGGATGGATAAAGGCTATTGAAACACACCCAGATAGAAAAGAAGACTGTAATCTAAGTCAACTGGCTATGTGATGCATAACATATTAATTACGTTGGAGGCAATGCCCCACATCTTAAACCAAGAACAAACAGTTTGAAGTAAAACAAAACAGCCTAATTCCTCCAAATTTTCCTAAAAATTATTATCATATAAATTTTAGCTGACATTCAATAGAACAGTTTCCATGGTTTAATTTGTCAGTTATTTAAAACAAAGAAAAAACAGTATAGAATTATTAGGTAAATTAAAAAAAAAACAACAACAAGCAAACCTGAGTTTTGCATTGAGAGTCTGACTGCATAAGCTACTTGTTCATCCTCAGACATTGATGCGAAATCCATCTCTACAGGGGTGGGGTTACTGGACTGTGGCACAGAGTCATCTGGATTCAATGATGCACCTAATGCCTTCTCCAACATTTCTTCTTCCACAGAAGCTGAATAGTAATGACATTGTGTGATAATTATAAAAACAGAACACAGATACTTACTTCGATGTAATGATTAAAAAAAAAAATGATTAAATGACTAAACTTTAAGTTACAGCAGCAAGCAATAGTTCAGTTATCTGACCTGCTGAAATAACTCCTAACTCTCCAGTAGTTGCGGCAGTATTTTGTCTTATTTCCCTTTCCTGGCGAGCCCGTTGTTCCTCCATCGATACACGAAGTGCCTAAGTTAAAAAAGAAAGATGCAGCTCTAAGATTCTAATTAGCACTCTCAGTGGAAATCAAAGTAAACTCTTCTTTTGTGAATTGACAGCTTACAGATCAGTAAAGATTAGCAGATTACTCTGATATAAACTGTTCATATAATCAATACAATGTTCCGCTGCGCTTTACTTTATACTCAGCTACATAGATTTGACTCAAACGGGGATTGACTAAAAAACAGAGCAAACCAATGGCGTGCCCAACCAAGTCATCCCAATAAATTTAATACAAACCAATGCAAGCTCTGGGTCTTCATTAGGATCAACTCCAAATTCAAAACCAGCCCCGGTCATGTTAGCGCCAGCACCATCTTCTCCAACTATGACAGGTGAACTCAGAAGGGCATCAGAGAGCATGGGTCCAGGAGGAACAGTCACGAGATGAGAGCTGTAGACATTTTAATTTTAATAAGTAATATGAAACTCCAACTGACCATTTGTTTCACAGCAGAATAATATTCAAAACTTTAGTTGTGTAATTGGCATGAAATAAAAATAATTTATTAAAGTAAGCTAAAGAAAAGCATTAACATGTGATTTTTAACTTAAATCTTTCAAATTAGTAAAGTTGTAGTGTAGTGTTTTTTTTTCTGAAAATTTAATTAATATAGACAAGATATACCTAGTTCCATCTTTTCCATTTATAGCATTAACAAAAGCAGTGAGTTTATCTGTGTTCAGTCCCTGAAAAATAGCATTTATGAGCTAAAAACCTTTTTAACAAAAAAGCAAATAGTAATGTATTTAAAAGTGAATCTATGTAATAGCTGGGATTCTTTTTAGCATTAATAATAAAATGTAGTAAAATATAGTGAACAATGATTTTGTCAACAATAAATGGAAAAATATTGACCTCTTCTCCGAAGTTGACAACATCAACATTGACTTTCTCTTTCTTTAATCGCTTGGCTACTTTAACAATCTTAAAAAGAATTTTTTTTAAATAAAATAATAAATAGTGTAGGCCTATATTAATTAATACAAGTCATTTAAAAATATAAAAAAACAGGTGTTAATTACAAATAACATTGATAAATAATAATACAGGAAGCTAAATGATTTAAACATAGTTTTATCAATTACATTACAAAGTTACAAGCTAAATTATGAGATTACCTCTTTTTCATCCAAATCAATAGGACTTCCCACAAATACAACAATTCTAAGCTTGTGATTTCTTCCCTGTCTATGCTTTAAAGCCAACTGAAAAAGTCATTTTAATTGCCTGATTTAAAGTCTTTATACAAACCTATTTTTGTGCTAAAAACAGAAATGACAAATTGATTTTTAATATTTTTCTATAAGAAAATTATTTTAAAAAAAGTGTGTTCTTACATGTGCAACTCTAACTGCTGTCATAAAATTGATTTCTCCACATGGTTGAACCTGATGCAGCTTTGCTAAAATTCTGCCAACGTCTGAGGTTAAAGTCACAAGTACCTCTGCTCTGAAAGTATAAAACCAATTCAAAATTTATCGATGTTTTTTCCTACTTAAAATAAATAGATCTATCGATCAGTTAATGTAAAAAATATTGTTTGTAACTAACTGTCATTTAATCTTTACCTGAACCAATATCTGTTTTGAGCATAATTAAAATCTTTATATCATAACAAAATAATAAAGCACAACATAAATGTAAAATTATACTTACTGTGCCATTTTCAAAAGGCCAACATTATTCTCTGGATTTGATCGTGTTTTGGACATGCAAACAAGGTTAACTGCATCTTGTTGAGCTTGCATACGAGTAGGTACAAAATCTCCATTTCGCATATAATCACTGTTGTCAACACTAAAAATGAAAAACATTTTATTATACAAATGTGGATTTTTATTTTAACCAGTGTTAGCAGGGTTCATGCTCAAAAGTTCAAATAAAATTCCAGGAGTTTTCCAGGACTTTAAAAAAAATTCAAGGAGATTTTAAAAACAAAAAAGAAACCCAATTTGTACATTTAAAAAAAGCGTACTTAATAATACATTTAATTAGCTAAGCCAATGCAAAAATTTAATTTCAGTAAAAGTAAAACAATATAATAGTTACATATTAGGATAGAGGCTATCAATCTGACTACAGACCAGTTTGAATTTTCAAAATCTGACCATAAAAAAGTTATGATGTTTTTTTTTGTCATTAAAAAACAGCAGTTTTTTAGAGAACTGGGAATGACCCTGAAAGAGGATAAATACTGGGAGGGTATGGACCAAATTTTAAAGAGTTTTCACTATAAAAGAGGTATAAATGCAAGCAGACTTCACCAATTAATATCATTTCGTGATATTTTATTGATTTTTGGATGCCAAATCCAATGATGCTAGGCTAGTCGGCCAACCCGATGAATGTGTCGGACGAATATTATGTAATTTCAGAGACAAAAGTCTGGCAAAATTTCTTGATCTATGCCCAATGATTAGTAACATCAACTCCACAGAGTGAAGGGGGAAGAGAGGTGGGTATGAAACCACCACGAGCTGCTCGGGTACCATACGGGTGTTACACAACATCAAAGGCGACAATCGTCGGCTTGTCGCGTCACAGAGTAGTGGGGGCGGGGTGAGGCTATGGATGTTACGTTGGGTGTTACATACCGTGTAGGATGGTCAGTGTCTTCCCCCACCCACCCCAGCCCATTTTGGTCGATTTGGCAAGCTAGTATTAAGTGTATTAACAATTTTTAGTCAACCGAAAAAAAAGAGCCACTGGAAAAATTAATTTATTTTCTATAGCCATTTTTACGAAAAATTAATGTATACAATAAAATGAAACGTTACGCGAATCAGCATTGTTTAATCGGGTCGCAGCTATCCGCGTTAATTTCTAAAGAAGATTAAATTTGACGATTAGTCCTGAGCCGTAAATACTACTACAACTTTTTTTTTGCCGTTTCAATAGTTTAAGACAAAGTTATGAAACATGCCTGTCTACTTTAAAAATCCAATAGCCGACAAGTCAAACACGGGAACACATGTAGGCCTATCTTTAGAAATTGTTTATAGTATCATCCAATCCAGTCTATTGCCTAGCGCCACGTGACCACACACTAGGCTGTGCCACACGATGTGTAGATCACGGCAGTGCGATTCAGTCGGACGAGGGCCGATGCGTCAATTTTTATTTTCGTCCCATTTAAAAACTACTATTCAATTATTGGCGGAACAAAATCAAATAATTTCGGTCGGGTTTTGCGCCGCGGGTTAATTAAATTTCATGAGATTTCATGAGAATTTTTAAAATTTCAGGAGAATTCCAGGAGGATTTTATATTTTTTTAAATTCCAGGAGAATTCCAGGAGGTTTTTACGTTTTTTAAGATTCCAGGAGTTTTCCAGGACCTCCTGGAATTTCAGGAGGCCGCACGAATCCTGTGTTAGATAACAGAATAATTTAAAAAAGGGGTGTTATGTTACTGGTAGATACCTAAAATACACACATGGCTTACTAATGTCAATGCTAACCCTATCCCAAATCCCTAACTCCAACCCTACCATATACCTAATGCTAATTTCTAACCATAAAACTAGTTGAGATTTCAATACTACTAAGATATTGGTTGTTTAGGCCAATGTGTTGTTTTGATGACACAGGGATTACCTCAATAAATACTTAAATAGTAGTAGTAGATTTAAATAGGCTATTAAAATAGATTAAAAAAAATATATTATAGGCCTACTTGACTTATAGACTAGAAATCTTGACTAGATAATAGATATACAACTAGGAACCCTCTTCCTATGATGAGCCACCCAAAACGCAACTGCTCGAACACAGGGTGCAGCTGATTTTGTCAGAAGTGACAGAAGAATAAGGCTAAAAAAAGGAAAACTGATCCCAATCCCATTGTGCAGCTATGGCTATAAAAGAATAATTTAATTAATATAACATTATTTAGATCTAGTAAATATTTAGGTCTTACAGGCCTCCCTTAAGGCAGGGCTTTTTACTTGGACTTTTTTTTTCTTTTAACTTTTCTTTTTATTACTTTTTAACGCCGCTTCACTTTTTAGCCTCTTCACTTTTTAACTTACTTTACTGGGCTCATTTACACTAGGTGACTAGATCTAGATTATTTAATTTACAGTTATTTTTACAATATAGTTTACAGAAGTTGACAGAATTCCAGACAGAAAGATAATTTTACACCGTAAAGACTAGTAAAGTAAACAGTAAAGGCCTCAAAGGCCAAAGAAAGAAGGGTAAAACTCCATTTCAGCGTATTTTATTCTCCGTTGCTTGTTTACCTCCAGTTGAGCGTATTTTATTATAACAACCGAAACACACCAAAACATTAGGAAAACACGATTTATTTTTTGTATTGTATTTTTGTTTTAGCAAATGAATAAAAATGAATATTAAAAAAAACACGACTTGTTTATTTGTATTGTATTTTTTAAAAAAAAAGGCATTTGTCTCATGGTGAAACTGATACACTGTTAATCATTCTGTTTTATATTTTTGTATTTATGCAATAAATGTACAAACTCTGTGTTTTTTAATTTGACAGTTTTGCTAAAACTGAAAAAAATATTTTACTATAGAGTTGTATGTTATTTAAATTCATAGTAAATCTACCATCCTTCCCTTTTTTGCATGAGTAAATTTCTGACTTTAAAAAAAAATTGATGTGGGGTCGTCCATAAAATGCCATAAATGACGTCACACTCGTAAGGGAGAGGGGGGGTCAGCAATTTTGTGACGGTGTGTGATGAGGGGGAGGGGGTGGGGTTTCAGATGGTGTGAGTGTGACGTCCCTTTTTTGCATTATAAAAAAGCAATGTTAGAAAAACAAGTTTTAGCCGTTATTTCGCGTTTTAGAAAACGGTTTTAATAAATTGTAATATGAATTGACCAAAATACTCTATGTTGACAGAGTTCTGACAAGATTTTGGAAAAATTATCGATGTTTTAAGAAAAATTCAACAGAAATTTTGAGGGGGGGGGGTTGTAGGCTGAGGTGTGACGTCATTTTAGGGGGGGTCTGACTTTTTGTGACGACGTGTAACGGAGGGGAGGGGGAGGTAAAAATCGTAAAAAAAAAGCGTGTCGTCACAAAAAGCAAGACCCCCCCCCCCCCCCCAAATGACGTAGCACCATCTGAACCCCCCCTCATCACACACCGTCACAAAATTACCCCCCCCCTCCCCCTACGAGTGTGACGTCATTTATGAACGACCTCTAACATTATTTTTTTTTAAATGACAACGTGAGTTGTCACACTTTCTCTAACACTCCAAGCCATCCCTCACCAAATTCCACCCCCCCCCTCGGCCCACTTTCGGCAGCATCATTGTGCCTTTTAATACTTTTATTCAGTTTAGTTGAAATTGGAACACTTAATTGTACAAAGTGTACATCTCTATTTTTGTAACCAACAAACAAAGCACTTCAGTCAGTCTCTTTGTTGTTTTTTATTCATTTGTTAAAACAAAAATACAATACAAATAAATAAGTCGTGTTTTTTAAACATTCATTTTATTCATTTGTGAAAACAGAAATACAATACAAAAAATAAATCGTGTTTTTCTAATGTTTTTGTGTGTTTCGGTTGTTATAATAAAATACGCTCAACTGGAGGTAAACAAGCAACGGAGAATAAAATACGCTGAAATGGAGTTTTACCGAAAGAAGGGCCGTTTATTAAAGTTTATTTTAATATATTTTTTGCCTAAGAGTTTGATTCTAGATTACAATCTGATCTAGATCTAGTAATACTTTCTAGGACGAAAAACAAAAAAATATTCATCAGAACACATAAGTATATCTATATGTAGACGATTTACGAAATAAATAAATAATGAAAGTAAGATAATGAAGAGGAAAAACCAAAATCTAAATTATTTACCAAATAATTGTACTTTCGAGAACCATTTTGGTTTCAGTTATAGTCTCGGGCTAAATCATGACTGTTAAAAAATAAAATGAAAATGTTAAAATTGTGCTACTTTTTATGAACGAAATAAAGTTTAAAATTAAGTAACAGTTTTCGAGGTATTTCTTTGAGTAAGACGTGTCACCCCCTCCCCCCGTCCTTCTGTGGAAAAAAACAACCTGCGGCTTTCTGAGTTCGCATTAAAAAAACATGCAGTTTAAGGCTTAGAGCTGTAGAGAAGAGGAGTGCTGTCATCCATTAATGACGTCACGCTTTTTGGACGATTTTTACTCACTCCCTCATCCACAAAAAGCCAGACATTCCACCTTAAAATGACGTCACACCTCAGCCTACAACCGCCCTCCTCAAAATAGCTGTTTTATTTATTTTAAATAATGGTTTCTTTATAAAAAAATATACACTGAGCTCGGTCATCATAGAGTATATCAATACAGTTCGAATACAATTTACAAAAACAGTTTTATAAAACGCGAATAAACTGCTAACATGCAGAGTTTCTTCCAGGCATCTCTTCTACCGCCCCCCCCCCCCCCCCCCCCGAACGAAAATGAAATTTATATAATTTATATAGAAAATATATACTTTTAACAGTGTCCGCCCCCCCCCCCCCCGAAGAAAGTCTACCGCCCCCCCCCCCCCCAGAAATTTCTAGTGCCCCCCCCCCCCCCCACCCGGAGAAAAAAGTCGATAAGAAACGCTGCTAACATGCAGATTCTAACATAACTTTTAAAAAATGCAACAGTGCTTCGTCACACTTTCTAAAACTTTCACCCCCTTGTCACACAATTCCCCACCCCCTAATTGAATCTGACATCATTTATAGACGACACCTAAGTCGAAGAGGGGATGGGGCTTTGAGTTGAGAATTTTTTTGACAATGTGTGAGAATGGGAAAGTAGTGGGGTAAATTAAAAATCGTTCGGTAATTTCAATCTATAGATTAAGGGTTATAATTTAGCGAGACAAAATGTAGGCCTAGTCATAATAAAATAATATTCCTCTTCGAGGGCAAAAATGTAAATGCTGAACTTATATCAAGGGTGATTCTGATGTCTTAAAAGCATTTCACTATCTCTATTTACTCCACATGGCAATCGCTATTAATTAATAGCAGGCTTTTAAAAATAGTTATAATGAAGTCTGCTTATAATGTTATTGTAACTTGCAAGAGATATATTTTGTTTACATTTTAATTTGTTAAGCTTAGTAAGCTAGGCACTAGTCTACTGGAGTCTCAGTCTAGACCTACTGTATGCTAATTCGCAATATCGAAAGTACATAAACAAGACGAATCATCTGACACGGCCGTCTTAACTGCGGGTTGATGAGTAATGGAAAGAGTGGCTTCCTGCTTCCTTCCTTGTCCCGTTTGCGAGACTCTATCTTAGTTATTATATTTAGTATAACAACATAAGGCTGTTTTGCAGCCAGTGTTAATTTTCATTTTTTAAAAAAGGCAATCATCATTCATATTTTGTCTGTCAATCGAAAACGGATATTAGATTGCATATCTAAATTGTAAGTATTAAAATTAAAATCTTTTATTATTAGTAGTAGATCGCCTAACTTAACTAATTTTAATTTCTAGTCCATGATTTTGATTGATAATCAAATTTATAAAAATTTACTTAGGCCTAAAATTTTTTCAGCCAAAATTGAAAAAGCCAATTTAAATTAATCTGATAATTTAGTTTAGGTAGTTAGATAAGAATTTAGATGTAGATATCTAGAAATAGATTATTTTTCATTTAGGTCTACACTACAAACAAAAAATTCAATTAGGTAAATCAAAATCTATAGGCCTAGAGTTTCTATAGCCTAGTCTAGAATCTAGATTTAATTAATAATTATAGAGCCTACTTGCTTATTAGTTTGGCAAAATTTTTGTGTTATTATGTCTGAATATGAGCTTGTGTAGGCTCTGTTAACCCAAATCTTCAATAAAGTAGTGTTTAGCCAAGTAAACTTTACTGTTGTATGATACATCCATTGTCCAGTTGCACAGTGGTAAGTGGCTATGACAATGTCTTAATCAGGCATCAGGGGATGGGGAACTGGTTAAAAGTCCACAACAACAATTTAAGTACTATAGTTACAGTAGAGTAGGCCTAGGGCAATGCCAATGTAATTTAAAGAATTGTCCCAGATAGTTTTCAGGATCTCCAGTGACTCCAGTAAACATTCTAATGAAACTGCATTAGTAATCAGTTTCCTTCTAATATTTGGTATTAAGCCTACTTTAATTTGTCTGTGATTAAGTATGGCTGGGTAAATCAATAGAACCCTTATTAACAGTGGTTTCAGGAATGAGATTATAAATTGTTCCATGATTCAATAATGGATTCTTTTGTATTAGGCATCAAGGTTCACTGAACAAATGGGTTGTGGACATTAGATGTTAATAAAAAAATCTTCTGCGATCCACATGTTACAATCCCTCTGTGTGTAACTTATAAACTGCTTTATCAAGGGTACCATGCATTGAAACATCAGTTTATTATAATTATACTTATATTTTGTTTGATAATACTAATATAATGATTCCAGAACATTCCCAAATAGTTTAAATATATTGGTAATGATATATTGCCCCCTTTTAAAATTTAAATATTTTTTTGTTAATTTTTTGGATTCAATGATCATTGAACATATTAACAAATTCCTGTCGTTCCCCCCCCCCCCCCCCCCCCCCCTGTTGGTGATACCTGTAACAGATAGTTTCTTCAAATTCTGTTAAAAAATATCACTGAGTTAAAGCAATTTTGTGAGTTTAGTAGAATTTTAAAATGATAGGCCACGTGGTGTTGTATTTCCCCATCTTTACTAAGTGGGTACACTTCACTGAGTACACTTGAGAGTGCCTGGATTTACGTCCCACCTCTTATGCTGTGTGGTGGGTCAGTTTTGTTTTAAACATAAAATATATTTCAGCCTTCCCTGATATGGCTGTCTAGGCTCTTAAAAAAAATATAGCCTTGTGCATTCAGTACTGTATATAATTGATTTGTTTACTATAGCATTGGTACAAAGGTCTTCACTAGTAAACCTTAACATAAAATGGGTTGCATAAACAAAGACTTGTGAATTTGTACTTAGATAATTTGTACATAGAAAATAAGGCTTGTACAACATTACCCATTCACATAAAGTTGTTATTAAGATTACACATTACATACACAAGAAACACCCCTAGAAAATGATAGTACTTTTAAATATACATTAGAACATATTAAATGAACACATCACATAAGCTAGAATACTAGATAGGACTGTTCAAATATGCTCAATTTACACATACTTTTACATTTACACACTTTTTCTTAAGTATATAAACAGACTCCAGCTAACTTAGTGATTGCATCAAAGCCTAAGTCCACATATGTTGTTTTTGTTTTTTTTTGTTTCAAGGGGGGCTTCATGTGTGTCGAAGTATTTCAAGTGGCCGACAGAAATAGCCACTTGACAAGTGCGTGGCATAATTAGTGCCTTACTCACACATTGGCTGCTTGTACGTTGGGACATGTTAATATGAAGACAGCTGCAGTGCATGGAATATATCTGAGCATCCCTCCTTTACCCCCCCCCCCCCCCCCCTCCTCACGATCCCTATTTGATTGTAGTTACATAAAGTTTCTAGGTTCTGGATTGTAATATAACGGGAAAGTATTGTTTTAGTGCCAATTGTTTTAGTGCTGTATAAATTACCCAGTAAGCAGGCCATCCTATCTTACTGTATAGGTTTTATGTTATTATAATTGCTCAGCTCCGTGTGAGATTGTTTTTGGAATACAGCTCACAATTAATACTGTAGATTAGTATATATATCTGGGTGTGAGTGTTGTTAAGCATCCTATGCATTTTTATTGTGCTGCAAAAAATACAACCGTATGGCGACATTCCTTGGCTGTTATATTCGTAATGCGCCAAGCTCAAGCATCGCAGGTAAACAGCACGTTGTTCCCATTCAGTCATGTCGTTTTATGTAACCAAAGCATCTCTGTCTGCTTGATGGTAGACTATCTCACTAATACCACCACGCTATGTAGACGCACGCTTAACCCAACCCCCCACCCCCTCATTAATAAATCACGACCCCCTTTTATCATTGAATGGCGCGGGTTATCGCACAAACGTGCTGCCCCGCTGATTCCCACCATTCAACTTTCTCCGGTATTTTAGTAGCGTAACCACCCCGCCCCCCTTCGTCCCTTAACTCACGTCATGCGTTGCTGATTGTCCCGAGGTGACGTAAATATGTTTTCTACTGTTGTTGTACCTTTACCTCAGACAGTACCAGCTGGGTTGGATTAGGGCAGAAATATTCCCGTGTATTATTTTAAGGGTCTGTGGTATGCATGTATGACTGTTCCAATGGTATGTCTGGCGATGTTCAACGCTATTTCGGCACCTTGCCTTTAAACGTTTCCAAAGAGAAATATATTTATTGATTTATTATTTGTGTTTACTCTCCAAGCATCGATTTTGTTACTTGCTTTTGAAAAATGATATTTTTTTGTGATTCTCCTCTCCTTCCCTTACCCCATACCTTTCTTTAAAAGAAATCTATTCTCTCTAAACCCGCCCCCCCCCCCCCCCCCCCCCCCCCCACCCCTTTGTATACCATATATTCGCGAGCAATTTCTTTGAACACTACTTTATTCTATTGACATATCCATTATAGCTCCCAAAAGCAACCATTAACGGATGAATGGCCACAACTCTGTATCAGGTGTCCGATATATCCCCATGTTTACCACACTCGTTTGTCCTGTAAACTTGGATGCCTGTGCTTGATGGGCTATCATTTTATCCCCCTGTCCCGTGTATCTTAATGTGTTTATTTAACGATCCCACCCGATCTTTATACCCTGAAGCTTGTGATGTTTTTGAAGCAACAATGCCCATCTCATGGGAACACAAGTGCCAAATTCGATCTATAAAAACAACATATCTAGGACGTGTGTTGTAGTTTTCCCGTTAAGAAGATAACGCGATATTCCACCTTGTGGGTCTAGAAATTGTTCGCATTCATTTTTTTTTTTTCAAGCCAAGTTTGAAGCTTTTCGGGTGTATGCAAGTGTAGTTCACATTCATAATTATTTGAACCAGGTTCAGTGATATTTCAATGGTGTTGAAATTGTTTGAGGTTATTCTGTTTGAATAGAATTCATCGAAGCTTGAGTATCTAACTTAGTGTCGTAGACATACGGGGTCGATACAACAAGAAGCGCTTTAAATAAATAGCACTTTGTGTTGTTTATTTGAGAAGTATTTTAAACCTATCTATCCATTATTGACATAAATGCTGAGACATTTGGCGTGCTCGTATAGTGTAATTAATTTCTTGGTTGAGTCGTGTTTATAATCGACAGCTGGCCGTAAATCACGTAGTTAGTGGGATTTTTTTTTGGAAACACGTGTTAGTTTATTTCCCCACTGAATGGCTAACAGCCTGGAAAAGTTAGTATTTAAATAATTAATTTCATCGTAAACTTTTGTGGACGCCTTTTCGAATTTCCAATTACATTTTGCAATTGCTCGCGACGCGCAGGTATAAAAATGAGGTTTTTTTTTGAGTTGGTTCTGAGTTTAAATTGTAATGTAGGTTGGATGTTCTGTTGTTCCGTTTACTGTAGACATGCATGTTGCATTGTTTTTAGTGCTCCATTAATGTTGCCGCAGTGATGTAAGGAGGTGGGTGGCATATTTTAATGACGTAACATATTTATCTTTTTTTTTTTTGAAGAAAAAAAAAACAACCCCGAAAAATGCGTTGATCTTTTTGTTAAGGACAGAGGTCGTTTAAAAAAAATATGACTGTGAATATTGCTATTTGAATGGGAAAAGGGGTGGTGGTATGGTCTAACTTTCTGTGATAAGTGACAACAAAGGTGGGGGGGGGGGGTAAACTCGGCACGCATCGTGTGATATCATAGTCATTTAAGGACTACCCCTCACATTGCATAAGGTTTCTTCGCTATGTGTGTATATATATGGGAGTATGGTTATCAAATTTAACAGTATGTACAGGTGGTGTAAACCCGAGAGCCCGCCCCAGGGACACCACCATGTTTAGTTAGGGGCAGCCACGGCTCTGGAGCATAACTTTGTGCTGGCACGACAGCCGGGCATAATTAATGCCATTAGGACAACAATGCTAACAATATCTGCTCGCTCCTCAACGCCGGCCCTCCAGCAAACTGTTTAGGCACGTTCCCTTGTTTTCCCGAGGATTTTAGCCGAGCTTGGCTCCTATTCAAATACATCGGCGGTCGTGTCGGTGTTGTACGTCGCTCCTTCACCGACTAACAAGTCGAGCGGCGCCATAGGTTTTTCGGGACTCGTGTGGGTGGGGGTGAAAGTTAAAATATTTATTGGTATACACGCATACCTGTGGTGGTGGTGATGGAGGTGTGTGTGTGTATGAGTGGTGGGGGTGAGTCGAAGTTGTTGTTTCCAGAACGGTTATTGTTATGTTAAGGGTAATGTAGGTTCGTGAGATGTTGTTTGCAGACAAG